TCGTGGCCTGGGGTTTCTGCACTTGGGGGTGATCTGGTGGCCACTTGTCCTAGTGAGTGTCATCTGTGCCTGGATGGTGAGGTTGTGTCCCTCACGCTCCATGGAATCCCCACTGGGGTACCACAGACTAGGGATTAACCCAAATTTGATCTGCTCAACCACAGTCACCTTTCTAGAAGACTGACTGTGGGAATCCAGTTAACTAGGTACTAAGAATACAACAGTTTGACACAAGCAAATGAAGTCTTGTTTCCCAGGTATGTGAGTATGGAAGTGCAACGTTATGCCAGACAAAGAAGGTCACACTATGATCTGCAGGGTCAGCCAAACAGCCCAAGAGAGTGAAATGCTACAAGGTTCGCGAATTGCTCGACATCCCAACTTGCTTCTGCTGGGGCCTCAAGTGTCAGGAGCTACCTTTTTGTAACACCTCGTGCACTTTGTGCTTTACAGTCTACAGAGAATTTTATAGATTAGGTGAAAAGATAAAAACCAAAGAAATGCTGCAAGAAATAGGATTTTAAAATCTAGATTAGCCGTGCTAACACAAAGAAGCAGTGATATGCATAATCCAAAATACCACATAAATTTAAACACATTTTGGCCTATTTTCCCACCTAGAAATATAACATCATCTTAGGATGAGAAGGCATGTCTCTAAAGGGAAAAGCTTGATAGATTGGAATTCTATAGAAATTACAAGTCTTTGCACTTCAGCAAAATAAAGCTTAAATGTTAAAAGAACAATAACACTGAGAAAAATATTTGCTATATATAACAAAAGGTTAATATATTTACTATATGAAAAACACGCATCATTAAGAAAAAAGTAACTCCAAAAGAAAAATTAGCAAGGAACATGAACATGCACTTCACAGAAAGAACACAAACGGCCAATAATGTGGTTAAAAAAGATAGGCTCTGGAGCTAGACTGAGTTCAAATCCTGGCCTGGCCACTTCCTAGCTGGGTGACATTTGGCAAATTATTTTACTTCTCTGTGCCTCAGTTTCCTCATCTGTCAAATGGGAATAATAATAGTACTGACTTCATAGAGTGATTCTGAAGATTGAATGAGACACTATATGAAAAGTGCTCAGAAAAGTACCTGGCACATAGTAGGCATTCAACACGTTAGCTACTATTATTATTTTGTTATTCTATTTATTATTATTATTGTTATCATATGAAAAGATGTTTGGCTGTACTTAGAATCAAAGAAATGAAAATAAGACCAATAAGGTACCATTTTTATGCCAATCAAACCGACAGACATGAAAGCGATGACAGCAATCCAGGGTTGGCGGGAGGATGAAGAAGGAGATTCCCTAATCTGTGGCGTGAAAAGGGATTCCACTTTCTGGAGGGCAACTTTGGAAAGATGTGTCAAAAAGCTTAA